AATGAACAATAATAAATAAAAAATCATTTCATTTCAATTACAATGATTCTTTGTGGTGTGAAATCCTCATTTCCACAAAGTGCATTTGATATTTCTTTATATGAAAATGACCATTGATAACAACACGACCATGTTTTATTATTTTCTTTAAAAACAAAAATGTCATTTCCATTCGATCCATATCCAAATGCAAATAACCAATCATCTGTTTGACTATATAAACAAAATGCACATTGTGGTTGTACAATATCAAATTTCATCATTCTTTGTATTCTTCCTTTTGTTTCTAATGAAAATAAAAATGATTTTGGATCATTTATATAATCTCTAACTTTATCAATTTTCTTATCAACATATCCTCCAAATCTATTTCCATTTGTATCTTCAATAATAATTATTATATGTTCTTTATTTATTATTCTTTGATCAAATACTGATGTTTTCTTTTTCCAATTATCAATATTTGAATCAAACACTATATTTCCTATTCTTCTTTCTGTCCATTCTTCTATTTGTTGAATTATTTCTTTTGTTTTAACAATTGATATGTTATTTGGTGTTGATGTTGTTATTCCCATTATTATTTATTTTTAAGTTTTTATTTTTAATAACATTATTTATTTTATTGTTATATATCACATTTATTAATTTTGTTATTTGATTGAATCTCATGTTTATTATTAAGTTCATTTTATGTTTTTAATAACATTTATTTTCTACTTGTTGTTCATTTATTCTTTATTCTAATCATTTAATTAAGTATATTCAATTGTTTGTTAGCTATCACTTTACATCATTTCATTCGTATAATTACTTTCTTTTATCTTTTTTAATTCTTTGATTTTTTTCATATTTAATCATCAGATAAAAAAAATAAAAATATTTAATTGTTTAGTTTTAACGATAACTTAGTAAGAAGTCATTATAAAATTTACATGATTAAAAATTATTACATTATGAATATTATGTATAAATATGAAATGTATATTATCTTTTATAATTAATTTGGATAAGATTATTATTTATTTTTATAGTGTTGATTATGTTATTTTAAATTAACTTAATATTATTATTTTTATTTATGTTATTATTAAATTGTTTAATTATTGTTAAAATTAGATATTGTATTGATTTGATTGTTATATATTATTATGTTATTTCATTTTTATATTTATTATTATTATTAATTTGTTTGTTTATTAATTATATTAAGTATTTATTTATTTGAAATGATTGTTTATTATTATTATTATTTCATCATTATATTTATTTATATTGTTTATATTTAATTATATGAAATTAATTTATTTATTTATTTATGAATTATATATTTATAATGAATAATTTTATTTAATAATTTGTTTATTGTTGTTGTTATTTTATTTTATTTTTAAATCATTTATTTATCATATTTTGAAATTAATATATCTTTATTTATTTGAATAAGTATTGAATTATCATTTATATTTTCTATATTTCATTTTATTTATTATGATAATTCAATTAATTATTTTCTTATTACATAATTTATATATTAAAATAATTTTTATTATCATTTTTAATGTTATAATCATTTTATTATTTTTGAAATAATATTCAACACTTTTCATAAACAAAATATAAATAAATATAAAACATAAACACTTAATATATAAATCAAATAAAATAATTAAATCAATAATAACAATATGATAAAATATTTAAATTATTTATTAAATCAAATATTGATAATATTTTATTATTTTTTATTTTTTTATTTCAATAACTAAATATAAAAAGGTAGCGAAAAAAGCAAATAATAGAAAAATTGAAGAGAAAGAAGTGTATAAAAGAAAAAAGTGAAATTAGGAAGTAGAAGAAGATGAAAAGAATAAAAGTAGAATGTTGAGAATATAAAAATGAAAGAAGATAAAAATGAATAATTCAAAATGAGATAATAAAAGATGAAAAGAAGGATAATAAATGGTGCATTTTTATTACAGATATTAGAAATATGAAATAAAAAATATATAATTTATTGATGTAAAATATTTAACATTATTTTATTGATATAATTTATTTTATTCATTTTCTTTTTATAATTTTTATTTATATGCATTATTTCTTCCATTGTTGTGTTTCCCAAATAACATAAAGAAATTCATAATGTTTTAAACAACAATATAGAGAAGAATATTATTAGATGTATTAAATTGAGAAATAGTAATATGTGTACTAGTTGAAGTGAATGATAAATAATTAAACAACTTAGTTGATCACTAATTGTTTGAATGGTAAAAAATATTAGAAAATAAAAAGAATATAAAAAGTGGTAATAATAGCTTTAATAGAAAAGACAAAGTAAATAACTCTTAATGCAACGTAGTTATTTATGTAAGTAATCTTTTATTGTAGTAATTTTATAATTTTACTTTAATTCTGTATTTTGTATTGTGATATTGTTTTAAATTCTATTTTCTTTTCATTTATAATTGTATTTATTTAAATATATTATTTCTCAATGTACTTTATTTCTTGTTACTTTCATTTATTTTCAAACATATAATTGTATCAATTTGATATATTATTGATATTAAAAATATTATTTAGTTTTTGAACATAAAAATAACGTTCTAAAAAACAACAATAGAATAAGTTAACCAATAATAACGATACCTATTAAGTACTGGTGTAATTAAATTTTAAAGGGATAAACATTAAATGATATGAATGTGAGAAAAGGATAGTTTCAATAAAAAAAATAGAAATAAAACAAAATAAAAAAGAGAATAAAAAAGTATCTTAAGGATAATTATCGTATACCATAGGAAAATCAGAGTGTAACTAAAAATAAGTGATAAATAACAAAAAATCAAAAACAATTTCCAAAAAACATGGAAAAAAAGGAAAAAAGAAAAATAAAATGAACAATGTTTCATTTAAGAGGAAGGATAGTTAAATAAATAAAAAGAAACAGAATACTCATTGCTATTTGAATAGTCACACTAAATACAAAAGTGTATTCGTCAATATATTTAATAAGTTCTATCTCTCTTGAAATAGATATATTTCACTCTCCTTGAATAAAGTGAATTTAAATTTGGTATCATACTACAGTAAAGAGATTAGAAAATTAATTTTAAGAGTATAAAATTAGTTTTCTTTATCTTTAAATTAGTTTTTTGACTTTTGATTGATATAAATTTGATATTTTCATTTATACTACCTTCAAATATAATGATATTTTACTTTATCTGTGTTGTCTAATATAATGATATTATCTAATAATGTGTTTGTTATTATTCTGATTTATGAATAACAATTCTATTTCTAAAATGATTGTTAGAATCAATTTTATATTTATAACTTAGTTGTAACATTTGTAATAAAAGTGTATTTTCAGTATATAGATTTATAATAAAATATGCTTTATTTTAGTAATGATATGATTAATAATATTCATCATATTTTCTGATCAAGTTCATATCTTTTTATGTTATTACTTTGTTGATTATTAAAATTAAAAGAACAGTTTGATGTTCTTAATAAGAAGATAGTACTTTACAACAATTATAAGTTAAAACGAATTGCACTCAATAAAAAAGAAGAAAGAAGTTATTCAAATGGGTATTAAGAGAAGATATGATAAATCAAATAAACAATCTGATAATAACCAAAAACACATTTTTAATTCAATTTTTATTTTATTTTTTATTCAGAATTATTTTAAATTTATTTTAGGTTTTTATAAAAATGAATTAAAAATAATGGAATTTTAAAAGAGTTGATGATGAGGTTTTTCTTGTTAATGAACTTGTTGTTCATTCACAGTGATTTGTTATGGATAATACCCTTAGAAAAATTCTATTATCAATTGGATTTTCTGTGCTTGTTGTTATGTATATGTTCTTTCTATCCATTCCAATAACCCATTTAATTTCATTAATTTCAAACAAAACAATTTCAAAAGATGAGTTGTACAATAAATACACATGGGTTAGAAGAATTTCATTACTGCTAGGAATTATTTATGGGCTAGGAACAATGGTAATTCAAAAATTAAGAAGATTGGCTTTATATTCTATTTCTATCATGATATTCACTTTAAATATGATTCCTTTTTTATTAATTATTGATTGCATTGGATTTGTTCTTATTCAATTCTATTCATTACCATCTTCTTTTTTCATATCATTTATCACAGCAAATTATCTTCCAAATTATTACAGAGTCTCTATGTTCATTTTTGTTTTCATTGGCTCATTGTTAGTTGATGTTTATTCACTTTGGAAAGGACATAGATTAGAGTATTGTTATCTTAATCTCCATTCATCAAAAATATCAAAGGAATTCACATTTGTTCATATCAGTGATATCCACATTGGAAGTAGATTTGGTTCTCATTCTCAGGAGATTGTCGATAAAATACTTCCTCTTCATCCTGATTTCGTTGTCATCACAGGCGATTTAACTGATTCACCAAATATTCAAGCAGAAGAGTTAATGCCATTCAAATCATTGACAACACAATGTCCAGTTTATTTATCAACTGGAAACCATGATTATATCACTGGCATTGAATATCTTAAATCTATATTAACAAGTTGTGGGATTATTTTATTAGAAAACACATCAGTAATGGAAGAAGAACTTCAATGTTCTATCATTGGAACTAATGACACTCAATCAGAAAAAGAGTATATCAATGAAATGAATAAAGTTTCAAATGAAGTTACTCCTCATACATTCAACATTATCTTACAACATCGTCCTCATGGATATCAACAAACATGTGAAAAAGGAATATATGATTTAATGTTGTCAGGACATACTCATGTAGGTCAATTTGCACCATTTAATATTCTTGTTTATTTATTCTTTAAAAAGGCACATGGACTTTATTCAATTAAATCAAAAGATAACAAATATCAAATGTATCTCTACACACATCCAGGTACTGGTGCATGGGGACCTCATATGAGAAGTGCAGGAACAAATGACATTACAATCTTTCATATTAAACCATAATTATTTCTAATTATTAAATTATTTATTTTATTCATCTTTTATTTCTTTTACACTATCATTTAATAAACCAATGATAAAAGAGAAAGAATACTCTACCACTTCTCATTAACTCTTCAATACCATTCTAAATTCCATTATTATAAGATGGAAAAGGATATTTATAATATAAGAAATAATTATATAGTTCATATTCTTTGGATTCTGTTTGGTTCTTAATAATATTAAAGTATATGAATAACAAAGATACCTTAAAATAATGAATAAAACAATTAAATTACATTCATAACAATAAAAGTAATAAAATCACAAACATATTGATATAAATAATAAAGTATCAATGACTAAAAGAAAATATCAATTAAATAATTACAAATAAATGAAAATGGTATTAATTGATTCAATAAATTGATAATAATATATAAACTTATATTTTTAATTATACTCCATATTAATATAATTATTCAAAAGAATATTGAAATGATTATGTAATAGAGAAGTAATATAAAAATTATAATTTATCTTCTTATACAATAACCAACCCAACTTCAATGATGACCTTTCATATTATACATTATTTACAATTTTTTCAATGATATATTCTTTCTTTTTGATTTTTTTGAGATTCATAATAATACCTTATACTGGATATCCAATGTCAACATAAAATAAATGATGTTGATTTACATATTCAATTCTTTCTTTTACTTCTTTATTTTCTTGTTTATTTACTTTACAATTTATATTTAATCCATTTTCTAGATTAGTAAAATGAACTTTAAAAGGTGAAACCATTACAATAATGAAAAAGAATAATCCTATTACTATAATGATAATTCCATAAATTGAATTAAACATATTCCATAATAATATGTTCATTACACACTTTCTAAAAAATAATACAAATAATAAATACTACATTATTAGTATAATTTGTTCATAAATATCTTTATATTTATTTTCAATATGTTTTTATTTTATTTAGTTTAGGAATAAATGATATTGAAATATGTTTTTCACTCTTCATTTATTAAATATTTCTTTAAGATGTTCTTTCTTTCATTTTAAAAAAATTTATTTATTTCAACAAAAATGAAATTAAGTATCTTCAATTCTACTCAGACTCTCCTTCTGATGATAAACTCTTATTTTCTTTTTGCTCTTCTCTTTGAATCAAATCTTGTGAACTTTCCTTTTTATCTTCTTTTTCCTTTAATGGTTCTTCTATTTTACTTTCTACACTTATTGTTTCTATTGGAACATATGACTTACGTTTAGAATTCTCATTTACACATAATGTATCAACACATGCACTAGTTTCTCCATCAATATATCCTTTATATACTTTTGATAACATAATTGCAACTTCTTGAAAAGAGGGTCTATCTCGTGGGTCTTGTTGCCAACATCTTTCAATAACTTCCGAAAATAAACACCCACTCGGTATTTCAAGTCTTTTTCCTGCTCCAACAAATTTAAGAATTGATTCACCATCTGGGAATTTTATTGAATTATATGGATCTTTACTTATCCAAACTTCTAACATACAAATAGCAAATGAATATACATCTGATTTTAATGTCATTTGTTCATTAACTTCACCTTTTTGTAATGTCATTTCTGGTGCCATATAAACAGGTGTGCCAATGTGTTGAATTCCTAATTTTTGAGATGATTCAATGAATGAACGAGAAGTACCAAAATCTGTTACTTTAGCTGTCACTGGATCAAATGGATTGTTTGAAACGACTAAAACATTATCAGTTTTTAAATCACGATGAACAATATCGTTTTGATGTAAATATTCCATTCCACGTGATATATCTTGACAAAATCTAATCTTTAATAAATCATTCGTTGTGTTTGTTTTCATAAATTTTCTTAATGACCCTAATGGACAAAATTCTGTTACAAGACATAACGTATCTGGTGTTACAACACTTCCAATATAATTCACTACATATTGACATCTAATTCTTTCCATCATTCCAGCTTCTTGCATAAAATTAGGTAATAAGTCTTTGATGTCTACTAAATCAGTTTTCATTAACTTAACCGCAACATCTACTCCTCTCCATTCAGCACGATAAACAATACCAAATGTACCTGAACCAATTGGTGGATGAATTAAATTAATTTCTTCATAATCAATCTTAGTAGATAATGCTGATTCAAGATTTAAATCCAAATAAACATAAAGTTTGTTTAAACTTTTTACTTGTTTCTTCTTTCTTTCTACTGATTTTCCTTTTGAACCATCTTCTTTATCTTTCGAGCTATCTGTTTTTGGTGATCGTAAGTTCATACTAGAGTTATTACGGATAGAAGAACTTTTTGATTTTGAACTACGTTCAGAAAATTCACTTGTGTTTTGACTAGACTGTGATTGTAACTCTAATAATTGAGGATTTTCTTCAAGAAGTTCTTGCATTATCTGTTTAAATTTTCCATACCTAATCGTTACAGGTACTTTTTCTCTTAAAACACATGTGCAATTCACGTTTATGACACACGTCACTTCACCAGTTTCTCCTGGGTGTACACTTAATATAGCAGGAATAAAAGAGATTGTATATTTTAAATAATCTCCACCATGGAAAATGAATCGAATTGGTTCATTTTTTTTGTTTGTTACTCTGATAACTGTTTTAGTATCTTCATCTACTTCAACATGATTTTGACACTCATTGAAAAGAATCTCACTACTTTCAAAAGAAAACAATGCGTTTGGTTTATGTATATCAATGTACTGAGCTCCTTCTTTGTTAAATTTGATTACTGTGGACTCAATCAAAATCCTTTCATCTTTTTGTTGTTCTGAAATGATAAGTTTATTTAAGAAGATGTATTTTGAAATAAAACCAATAAGTAGTAATAGCCAAATGAATATCCATATGATAATTCCACCTATAAATATTATTAATGATACAATAGATCTTCGTACTCTTTGACACCCTACTGAATGTGCCTCAAACCATCCAGCTTGACATTCACATTCATAACAACCTTCTCCACCATCACATTCTTCACCTTCATCAAGTACATTATTTCCACATTTATTACTTAAACAATACATTCTTGGACTTTCATAAGGACGATATCCTTCAATACAAACGCAATGGTGACAACCTTCTCCACCATCACATTCTTCATAATCATTAATTATTCCATCTCCACAAGTTGGAACAGCACAATTAGTTACACCATTGATTGTTAATGGAATATATCCATCTTCACATGAACAGGTAGAATAATCACAATTTGGGTCAATATAATTATTTCCAGAAACTTTTTCACATTCTTCACCTTCATCTTTTTTTCCATTTCCACACAATGAACAACTATCTTGTTTTAAAACATATCCATCATTACAAATACATGTTTGAGATACTTTATCACAAACACCATTTCCACCACAATTATATGGACATAATGTTGTGATAGTTAAATTAAAAGCTGCATTATTATCAGTAATAACACCAGCAAAAATAAAATAATCATATTGACTTGATAATGTTACCATCATTGAAGCATGATGACTTCCTGGTTCAGGACATCCTTTAACATCATATCTTTCACAAACAGCATTTGTTATATGATTTTTAAAATTATAACCACAATCAATTGTTGGTTTAACATCTCCAGTTGATGGAACTTTAATTAAATGTAATGAAGTATAATAATCTGAAATAGAATTACATGTACTAATTAATACATTTCTATCAGCTCCTTGTAAAAAGTACCATAATCCAATTTGTTCTGTAACAGTACATGCAGATGATGATTTTATTCCATATGCTGTATTAACTACTGTTGTAAATCCACTTGTAGCAACTTCTGGCCAATTAACTATTGAATAAACATAAGAACATGGATGAACAATTGGTGTAAATAAAATAGGAACATCAGTAGTAAAAGGTATTCCAAATGGTTTATGAACAAATAAATAATATGGTGTATTTTCAATTAATTGTAATACAATTCTACTCAATTTAACAAAATGTGATAAATTATCATTATCTTCAATACATTCTTGTTCTTTTCCTTCTGTTATTTTTTTTATTCTTGGACAATTAGAAATAACAAAAACAGTATCTTCTCCATATGCATTTCCTTGTGTATCTATAAATTCAATAGAAACTGAATCATAATGTTTTTGTGTTTCTATTGCAATATATTGTGTTTTACTTGATATTACTTTAACCCAATATCCTGGTGCATATGGTTGTTGAATAGATAATCTTTTAGAACATATATTTATTGACATTTCTTGTTTATCAGGAGTTAATATAAGTGTTTGATTTGTATCATTTATAGTAATAGAATAATCATGTAAAGTAATGTATTCTTGACATGATTTTACAGTACTTTCATTAAATGTTACACATTTGAGATATCCTTGTGGAATATATCCTTCAGTACATCCTAAACAATCTGAACGATATCCTTTCTCATCACAATATCCACATTCATCTGGTGTATAACATCCTGTTTTACATCCACCAATTAAACAAGATGGAACACATCCAACTGATTGAACATCATCTTCAGGAAAATAACCATCTTCACAGATACAATCTTTTCTACAATTACTTCCTCCATCACATTCTTCATCAAATCTTTGACGAATTCCATCACCACATTTACACATACAATGAGTAAAGAAAAGAACAAAAACTACTATTATCTTTTCCTTCATTTGATTGATTTTGTTGTTTTTTTCTTTTTTCTCTTTTCATTTTTTTATTTTATTTTATTCTAATGAAAGTTCATTTAACCAGTTTTCCCATTCTTTTCTCAGTTCTTTGATTCCTTTTTACAACATTAAAATGTTATGAACTAAAGTTTCAATTCTTTTTCTTATTTCACTCTATGAAATCAAATAACAAAAAAACTACCTTCTCTATCAGATGTATTCTTGTTTTTATCAATGGAATTACTCATCTTTAATAATTTGTTTGTTTTTCTTTGATACTTTGAGTTAAATATTTAATTTGAGGGAG